TGTTCAATGGTTTGGGAACTCACCTGGCAAGGAATGTCTTTTCAATCATTCCACCTGTGTATTTTGTATTAAACAGTTACTAAAATACATAATCTGCCCTTATCATGTACTTGGGACACTGAGACCTGTGCTGCCAGCTATATACTCCCTCTACCAGCCTACAGAGACATGTGCTTCTCATGTAGCCTTTTTCAGATCCCCCCAGCCTCACTGGCATCTGCCACAATGGAGGGAGCATGTCAGGTGCCCTGCTATTTAGTGCCCCCTGCTATTTAGTGCATGCAGCTGGAGTGTGTGGGTTTCAGGCAAGGAAAGGTTTGAACACAATTTCCCAGCTCTTACAGGAGCATTTTGCAGTCAGACTGTTACATAAAAGACAGGTAACATCTCCTCCTCCTTCTCTGCCCACCTTTGGTAAGGAAATCAGCAGCTAAAATGTATTTTGGGAAGGGCTTGATTTTGGCACTCCAGGTCAAGTGTTGAAAGTGCTTGTTGCTAGTGTAGGGTGCTCAGAGAGCTTTGGGAAAGAAATCTCCATTTTCCATCCCCAGACTGGATTTACTGGGGAGAAAACAGGACGATTGACTGGGTGAATTATTTTTTTCCATGAGCCTCAGTGAACTTGAAGGTAAAATACTGAGGAATGTTCCAAGGCAAAACCACAGCATAAGTGACCACAAGTGGCTGCAGGGTTAGGTAACATTATGCCTGTTTCCTCCTGTGTACTCACTCAGAAATCAGATTTCAATATGTCATTTTAAAAACCGAAGAGTCGCCAGATTTCAAAATGGCAACTGTAGATACTGGAGTATCTTGATCCATAGAATTGATTAATAATAATGGCCAGTCTTCGCAAGCGAAGATCCGGGGAAGGTCTTTCCACCTTCCAGCCTGCGCATTGGATTTTTTTTTTAGGTGAGACACAGTGTGCGCGGAACTGAGCCCACCCTTTAATCCTAAGGTTCATCTGCCGGGGCCAAGCGAGCTTGGACGGTGGCAGCGAGGTCCTTAGGACGTAGGTGGGTTGCCTTTAAGGGCTAACGAGCCCCACCTGCCCGGGAGTGGCCCTGACCGGGAATCGAACCCGGGTCTCCGCGGTGACAGCGCCGCGCCTTTACCACTAGACCACCAGGGGCTCCAGAATTGATTAAGTGTTATTATGAATTCATATTTTTTTCCGTATACGATAATAAAAATGCTTATTAGCTGGTTTGGTGACTTTTACTGATTTCTGCCTTTAAGCCTTGCTTAATTTGGAACTCAACACAGATGATGATTTCCCATATCATCATTTGCAGGTAATATATTTTAGCATATATTTTATTTTCTGTTAAGACAATTAAGTCAAATATGCACAAGCCACAACTGTAAGCTTGTATATGCCAAGCTGCTCTTGATGTTGTCTTCTCCTTTCTCTTACAGCTGCCTATACTGTTTCTTAAACTATCTCATCCTAAAGAATGCATTTAAGTCTAAGAGCTGAGATTAAATGGCAGGTATAAAACCAGGTCTAGCATCATCCCTGTAGCTTGAACCTTGAATGACAAAAGTTTTCTGAGGGAAGGAAATACATGGTATATTCAGGGTAAACTGTGGGTTCATAGTGAAAATTAATAATACTGTGAAAGAAAATTAATAGATGGAAAGATACTAAAGTGACTTTGTTCAGATGCTTTTAGGTTAAATAATATATTCTGAAAAGTCACTTTTGTTCTATGGTAAGGTGGGAGCTATATGTTAATTTCTTTTATTCCTGGATCATTTTCTCTCTGAGGTGTCATCAGTTGAATTTTCAGTACTACACTGAAATGAATATTCATCACAGAGTTACAGCTTTTGAAAAATCTGCAGGGAAAAAGAAACAAAAAAACCAACACCTAAACTCTTTTTCTATTGCCTCTTTCTGCAGCTCTGAATGTGCACAGCTCCTTGGGGTTAGCAAAGCAGCTCCCAGCATCCGTGTGCTCCCAGGCACTGGCTCTGAGCTCTCCGGTGTCCCCACATGTGTGGTGGGACCAGGGGGCCTAACAAGAGTTCAACCCAAGAGTAAGAGTTTGCAGGGCTGGGGTCTGTAGGAACAATGAGAAAAATAAGATCCCACACATTTTAGAGCACACTTGAGCCAGTGGCAAGAGGGATAGCTCAGGTCCTCCCTCAGAGAAGTGAAGGTGCTTGAGCTCATTACGGTGGGTCTGAATCCCTTTTGGGAGGTGGAGTGGTCACAAACATCTTCAGGCTTCTTTGAGCAGAACTACAGACACACAGGGTAAGCCAAGTCCTCAATAATCATACATGCAATTTTGGGCTCAGCGAGCAATAAAAAGGCTGCCTTTAGTGCCACACAGTGGTTAAAAAAAATAATTTCAGTGAGGATGGGTATTCTGAAGCAATGCAGAACATTAGATGCTAATGCTAAACTTAAAAAAGGAACCATACATTTTAAAAAATCAGGATACACCAGTCAATTACTGAAAGGTATCACCAAGATTTCCTCACCTGAGGATGTTTAACACCACTAACCAGCTAGATGTGGAATATAGGAAATGTCACTCTGGAATTTCTAATCAACTTGCTCTGCTTATTGCAGAGCACTTTGCTCATTTATAGCCTTGACAAAATAGTGAGGGATGTGACCTGCCAGCCCTTGCAGGTGGTGAGCTGCACAACAACCACTGGGCAGAGCCATGCTGGATTAGAGCTGTAAAGATATCTCAAACAATGGAAATAATATGGAATAGTCTCTGAAAAAAAAAAAAAAAAGAAGCTAATTTGGGATCCCTGAATTGGGAAGAATTTTGCACATTTTGGTGATGAGTAGTTTTCTTGCTTAGGTAGTGTAGAGAAATATTACTGTTAATTACACAAGTAATGGTACTTCTGCAAGTGTGATGCATTCTGTAATGTATGTGATGCAATTAATCTCCAGCCATCCAGGACCTTCAGCAATCCTCTGAATGTTGTCCAGAATGGCTGTGTGCCACAAGGATTCGGGGATTAGAAGGCAGACCTGCTCAAAATGGTAGGTTGCAAGAGCTCAGTCTGTAGCAGCACTGGAAAGGGGACAAAGCCCTGCAGTCCCTTTCAGAAGGGGACAGACACTCACACAAGAGGCAGACACACACACAGATACAGACCTCCTTTCCGGAGAAATGTCTTGCACATGCAGATATTAATTTATGAACTTACACCAGGCTGTTTCAGAATGAGGCGTAACTGATCATTGGGCTTTTGCTGTATGTCCACGCTAAGCTGGCACTCTGTCCCCAGCAGGGTGACAGGGAGAAGGTGTGAGTGTGGGCAGTACCCACTGAGTTTTGTTGCACATTGAGTATGGTCTCTGCCTGATTCGACCACAGCCACAGGCCAACAGCACCCCTTGCAGCGCTGCTTGCAGCTGCACCCGCGGCTGCTCCCACTCAGAGATGTCATGGCTCTGACGCTTTTTGGGAGGGGGAAGCCCTCTGCAGGTGTTTGTGGCAGGTGCAGTGCAGGTGTGTACACCAGCCACACGTAGCATGAGGGGGACGGGGGACCCTGAGGTCTTACCAGGGTTGGACAACTCTGGTGGGGACAAGGGTATTCACCAAGGGCAGCCCAGCCTGTGGATCATGGATGCTTGATCTCACCCAACAGCAACAGCAGAGCCTTTCCCAAAGCAGCCAGCAGTCACATCCATTGATGTGTATTGGGACACTGGGCCCTTGGTATTAGGAATAAAGTTTTAAGTGGTGTTTAGTTGATAGAGCTGAACTAAGGAACCAGAGTAAGCTAGATGAGATGGCATCTGTAATGTTTCAAACAGGCTGAAATAAGTTAATAAGCCCAAACTTTTCCCAGCTAGTTCCCCAAAAGATAAATACACATACACATATGTATGTTTACACAGGGTTATGAAAAGGTCAAACCTGTGGCTTAACTTCAGGCTCAGGAAGCACAGTGAAACAGAGCTCTTGTTCCAGGCACGCAACTTTGTCAGTCAGCATAGTGTACCAGGCTCCAGCAGGAAGAGCAAAATGTTTTTGCACAAAACCAGAGTGTGGTTGCACAGGGCGTCGTGGCACCTCTACCTGCACAGCAGTAGGACAGGAAAAGACTTGGCTTTTGGTATAGGATAGGAATAGCACCGAACGGGACCATTCTGGAAATGAAGAAGCTAAATTTGATGGTTTTGCATTTTGCACTGGGATGCTCACCTGCAAAGTGCTTCAAAATACAGACAGAATCAGTCTTGTTCCAGCTGCAGAGTTCCAGCTGATGCCTGTTGCCTGCTCCTCTGAAAGCAAACTCTTACAGTTCTCTACACAGACATTTTTCAGGTAAAGAAACAATAATTGCTGACATTAGTCTTGCTTCAGGCAAAAATAATATGGCACACTATTTGGAAGGATATTCAAATTTATTAAAAATAAAGTGGTTGTACTGTACAACCCTACCTCCATTGCCAATACTAAACTAATGTCAATATATTGGTATGAAAGTCTTATGGCATCATAGGAAGTAAATCTATATGAGCTGGGTGAGATGGTTCACCAGCACACAAAACTGCACAGCATCCTCCATGCTGCATAAACAGGGGTGTTTGGGTTTGTTTTGTTGTTTTAAGTAAGAAAGAGCCCATGAGGCAGCCCTGCAACCACCACCCAGCTGAGGGTACCAGACAGGCTGGAAGGCAGCACCAGGAAGGGAGGTGTACAGCCCCTGTACAGCTCTGCTGGCACAGGTGTGGATTGGGGCTGCAGTCTGTCAGCAGAAGCTTGGTGGCTGCATCCCAGAGATGCTGATGTATAAAAGCAGCCTCCAGCTGATCCAAGGCTCCAGCAGCATTTACCCTTGTGCAGCCTCTGCACTGGGATGAATATTGAGCCTTTTGGCTAAGACTAGAATTTTAAGAAGCAGAGAAAGAGAAAAACTACTCCATGAGAGTTAGTGGGAGCCACTAAACCCAGGCTGTTCCACAAATGAGGAGAAATTAACATTCAGGACAGGGAAGTTAAGCACAGTAGAGTTTATTTTTACAGCCCAGCCTGCTTGCAAACTTCATGGCAGTACATGGAAGGAGTGAAAGGATCCATATCACCAGCATATGGAGCACAGGCAAAGACAGCTTCTGTGAGCAATTTGACAACTATTTGGCTGCATTCTGCTCGAAATATTTATGACAGCAGCAAGTCAGAGCTGCCACAAAGAGGACAAATTCTTTGAAGTCCACTTGAGAATCTCCATTTTCATCCAGGTTCTTGAAGACTCTATCGATAGCATCCTTGTCCTTCCCTGACTGCAAAAGAAAAGAGCAGGTTGAGGTCAGAGGAGACACAACCCTAATGCAACAGCACCTCTACCCACACCCCAAACAAGGTCCCTGGTAGGGCTCTGGGCCCTTGCTGAGGTGGGGAAGGGCACCCATGGAGCATGAGGCTGGTGCCAGCTCAGACACATGATACCTTTCTGTTGGGAATCATGAGTAGCCTGGGAGGTGGATCTGTGCTGGAGGTGTAAAGGCTCCTGCCTGCAACCCTGCCATCAGCCTGCCCAGAACATCAGGTTATTGTGTTTTCTGCTAGTGAGACCTTTTTTTTTCCTTCTCTTTGCTTGTTTTGTGCATTATATCTCTGGGTATAGAGCCATGAGTTCCAGGCATGAGTCCCATCATCTTCAAGGCACAGAAGCACTCTCAAGTCTTCCCATCCTCTGCACAGGGAACCATGTGCTCCCTGGGTTTATTACACCTGAGAGCTGCAGTCGTGGAGAGACATGTTTTCTACATTTAAATCCACATTCATCATGATTAAAGCTGTGTGACACAAAGCCCTGAGGACATGACCCAGATGAATGAAATGCCGTGCGTTCCCCATCCGCCCCCCTGGAGAGGCTCGGCTGAGCTCAGGTAGTTTGTGGTTTTGTGAAGTGATGCTTTCCTGGGGCAAATGTCGAATTTAAGCTTCACTGAGTACCTCCAACCCGGAAAAGGTACAAACAGCCTCAAAAAGTCCTTCAAGTCCTGCTGCGGGAGCTGGTGGTTGAACCCAGTGGGATGCTGAGTTTGAGCTACCACAGTAAAAAACAGCAGAATAATCTTTTTCTAAGTTTTGGTTTTTTTGATGTTTATTTTTTATTTTGCCAAAATATACTAAAAAAAAAAATAAATAAAAAGAAAAGGCATTTGCTAAAGTAGCTAAAAGGGTTTTTTGGCCTGAGTCCTGGAAGTGATTATCTCCAGGGATTTTAGAAAGCGCAGTTTTAAAAATAAACAGCAGATGGCAGTACAGACCTATCTAAGCTAAGAAACAACCGTGAGGACTTTGTTGAAGATAAACAAAAAATAAATCTGATATTATACTAGAAAGGAATTATATAACATTTTGGAAAATTTCTACGAGTTTAAAATATTTACTACCTTTAAATCTGAAGGCAATTCTTAACTGTGTTCTAATTAACTGAATTTCTCATTTTGCAATTTCATGTTACACTTTAAATACATGCGCCTTTAAAAATCACAAAAAATTGAATGAGTTCTCAAGATTTGACTGATTAATATGTCTGTAAGTTTTTATTCCTTTTCATTTTATACATTAAAAGGAGTTTTAATTTTATAAGTGAAATATATGAACTAGTTTTAGCCTCTGAATTACTTCTGAAATGCACAAATGGGAATTGTTTTTTTGGAAAATCTTTATAACTTCCTTCAGTCCTGTGGTATTTCTGCCCCTGATTGATTCAAGACTTTTCCAGACAGTTGTGAGCTGTCTCAGCTATAACCAGTTCTAAGGCCAAAAGTATACATCAGTATTTTAGTAACACTGTTTCCCAGAATTTCTTGCAAATAAAAAAATATGGATATAAATTTCAGGAAAATGCAGGCAAAAGGTTTTTTCCAAAGTCATACTTATGGTCCATGATTCTTTGTTGCAGTTTTCTGTCTGGCAGGACAGCAGCAAAGCAGGACACTGTTGGTTTAAATTCATTTGAAGTACTGGCATAAAAGTGCTAATTTTTTTCTAGAATAGGTAAAGCAACAAAGGAAGATGGAGACTGGAATATAAGAGGACATCTAGCTAATTATCTCCTGGAGAATTCCAGTTTTTCTAGCAGTTGCAGGGAAGAGCCACTAAAAGCAGCTGTGGGCAACTGGAAAAAGGTGTGCCTGGCCAGTAAACACAGTCGGGAGAGACCTTTGAGCATCATCCCATTTGGTGGGGATCTGGTACAGTGGCTCCCCAACTCTGTTTAGACCAAATCTTGAGTGTCTGGGGGATTTCCATGCCCTCTTAGAACTGCGGTTTTGTTGTTGGTTTTGTTTCTCTTTGCCAGGGAGTGCTACAGGTAACACACAGCTCTGTGCTCAGGAGCTGGACACTTCTATGGTGCTGCTGGATCACAAGCACTGATCTGTTTTATACAGCTTTTTCAGGAACTTTTTAATCTATTCCCCCTGAGCCACCCAGGTCCTCATTCTGAATATTTCATCTCTGTTTCGTTTGTGAGATATAAATCCATCAGGCATGGATTCCATGAGGTGAATTCATACAGTTTGCATGGAAAGATACTAAATTGTGTCAAGTACCCTGGCTGAAGTGCCCCAAAATAATTATTAAAAAACGGAATTATTCTGGATACAAAAAGTGGGAGCCACACATGGACCACTTGGTTCTAGACTTTTGTCATTAAGAACAATAAATGTACAGACAGAGAAACATTACTATGATGTGGAAAGAACAAGACCATGAAAAGTATGTTCTGGATTTTCAGTGAAGGGAAGCAAATACAAAACAATTGAAAATGGAAAGCATTTTGTCTCCCTGGCAGCTAAAACTTTTACTATAACATATTAAATATCTTGAATACCTACTTAAATGCACCTGATGATTACATAAAAATTGATGTTGTAAAATATATTTTCAGGTCTTTCTTTTGTTACTAAAGACAAATACCAACTCTGCTCTGAGTTCATCTGTTGTTCTGGTTTATGCATCATTCTGATCAGCATATTGTGTATGTAATATAAATACCTGGAGAAGGTAAGTGTATAAATATTTAGGAGATTCCCCATCTGCAATCAAGATCTTCAATTGCTGACAACAGAACCACCTTCACAGCAGTTGTGACATGATGTGAGCTGATAAATCCAGTGATAAACAGAAGTAGTAGGTGAATTCTGAAAAATCCAACCTATTTCAAAGCCATTGTCCTGATAATTCAAGTGATGAATTTAGCAAATAGGGAATGGCCCTAAATATTAGAATCAGTTTTACACAATATATGCAAGACCTCTTTTTTATTTTACATTTTCCAACAAGCCATTGCATATTTCTGGATGTAATTTCCCTGATAAAGTACTGAAAACTGTGCCTGCAGGCAGCCCTTGCACCCGCTGCACGGAAACGATGCTGTTCTCTTACCGCGAGGAAGTTTGGGAACTCTTTTTCCAGGAGGGTCTTTAGCTCTGCTTTGCTGAGGGTTTGCCTGTTGCCATCAGTCCTTGCATACTTGTCAAAGACAGCTATGATCATTCCCATGGCAGTTTCCAGCTGAGACATGTTGTTGCTGGAGTCCGGCTTTCTCCTGAACAGGCACAGTCGGGGCTCTCTCGGAGGACGGAGACTGGTCTGAGTTTGGAGTTCTTTATGCGACTGTCCCATCCAATGAGCAGTCACACACCAGAGGGGCAGTTATCCCTTGGCAAACATCTGTATCTGAGCACCGCCTGGAGCACACACCTCAGTGCTCACAGCTATTCAAAACTCGAGTTTTATCGCCCTGGTGTGACTGGCACAACCAGTTGCTCACCACTAGAAACCAGCCTCTCCTTCAAGGTACACAGTGTGACTAACAAACGAAAATCAGATTTTGTTATTGGCTGTTTGCTCAAGATTTGTTCATTCAGATATGGCCATGGCAGCAGTGGGTTGGTAGCCCAGCTATGGCATAGTATGTGCCAGCCTGCTCAGCAGGAAGAGGAGATCTCACCTCTCCTTCACTACCACAGTTAGGGGTTCTGTGAGGGGCTGCAGACACAGACTGCCCCCTCTGCCACGCAGAGGAGCTTGTTACAGACTAGATGGCTCACTAGCACACATTTGGGATGAGATTCTCCGGGTCAAAGTAGAGCTCTGCCATGCAGTCAGCTAACATAGTCCCTCTGAGCTTGCACTCAGTCCATAGTGGATGTCTTGAACAGGTCTTATGAACCAGCCTCTCTCCAGGGCCAGCAAAGGGAGTTTCGCAGAGCCCTCCACAAAGAACTTGCTCGGGTGGAGATATCTGAAGCAATAAATCTGATACTTGAGCAAACAACCAGTATCAAAATCCATCTTCATCTGCAGTAAAAGAACTTGTCTATTTACCCTATGCAGCATCAAATGTTACAATAAAATATCTTGTACTGCCAAATAAAAAAAAAATAATAATAATAAAAAAAAGTCAATCTTAAGTCCTGTGGTCCTCTGTGACTTCTGACGAACTTTCTGATTTGCTTGTAAATCATGGTCCCCCGCCATCAGATGCCAAACACACTGGACTCACATCTACACAGACCAGGGCAGTTTGAGGGGCTGCCCTGGGAGCTGGGCAGAACCCCAGTGTGAGCTCAGGTGGTGGGAGCTGATCAGCTCCAGCCACACCGAGTTTGAACAAGTTACAATTTCTGGCCAAGCACAGGGTAACTTGGCCTCTGTCAGACTCCAGATGCCTGCACCAGACCTGGAGGAGCTCATTTGAGGTGAGTTACATCTACAGTAGTGTCTGCAGAACAGACACACTCAGAGCAAATTATTTGGGGAAACCTATCAAAACTAGGGCATCATGTATGAATAATGCTGATGGACCCCAGGGAGCAGTGTTTAATGGAGAAACCCCTGCTTGTTCATTCCCAGAATTAAACCTGAGTTTGGATGTCTTTGGACATACCTCTGCATGCTTGAAGACAACTTTCCACTCATGATATGCTATAGACATGTTAACGAAAATTGGTTTTTAATTAAGAAAAATTTTAAAAATTAAACTCTTTTCTCCCAAATGCCTGTAGCCACCTGTTTCCCAGGCAAAATCTGTCCTGTAAAATCAATAACATCTCAAAGTGAGACTGTCCATCACATGTACATGGAAACCTAAAACCTTTCTGAAACAAAACCCCCATGATTTTCTGTCTTACATTTTCCAACAAGAGATTTTTGCATTTCCAAAGAAGTCAAAGCAGCATCTTAAGCTGTGTGCTTTATTTAAACAGTTCATAAGAACTACTTTTCCCTGTGACTTCAACCCCATGACATAGTTGCAACTGATTTGCATTACAGGGGTAAAAAACTGTAAACTTTGAAGTTTTTACATTTAAATGCATCTTGAAACCTGTGGGATTTCTTTAGAAGGAACAAGGAAAGAGAAAACTGGCTCTTGTTAGCTATGAACATCATCTGGTGTTTGCATCAGGTGGAGAGTGCCAGAAACTTTCCTTTGTCCTTTTCTGACAAGTATCTGTAAAATGAATATTAAACAAGACCAATAAAGAAAAATCAATTCCTCCCTCTAAAGGAAAAACGAACAAAACAAAATATTTACTTCACAGCTTCTCATGACTTTGAATCACTAACATCAGTGTAAGTTACAAGGGAGGAAAAGTGCCCTGAAAATGCAGAGAGGGAAAAAAGCTTCAGTCAACAGGATATGTCAGTGTGTCCACACCTTTGCCACATAACCTGGGAGAAAAGGTGTCCTCTTTCTTGACCCATTTTCATTTGCAAACACAGGTGACTCACAAGTTTTGAGAATACAGCTGCAAAAGTGCTAAAACACAGAATAAACCACAGGGCTTGAATTCCTACTAACTGAAAGGTCACCATGGTAGCACTGCCTGGTTGACTTCCTTTATTTTTAATGTGTCATATTTGCATTCATGCCCATGCACACACATCAGCGCTGCTCAGAGTTTTCAGTTCACACTTTCTGTATTGTTTAAATATTTTCTTATGATTTGTTATTTAAAATAGCAGCTCTGTGCACACAACACAGACTATTACAACTGTTTGCAAAACCAGAGAGTACAAATAGGAGGCCCACACAGGAAAGCAGGCAGTGTTTTGATGCCAACCCATCTGTCCAGCTCCCCAGCGAGATAAATCATTTTCTGAGGGCTTGTTTAAATTTATATTATTGTTTTAATTGCAAACAATACCCATTATTTACTTCTTTCACGTTCCTTTCTTTGAAGAATGGTATAGGCAACAGTTTGGATGAGTATTTACTAAGGGTTTATACAGAATTAGGTCTTGCTATTCCTAATTTGGACCAAAAGTTTAAATTATTTGTGTGATACCAATGTGGACTGTCACACACATAATTTAGAAAACCCATTCAGATATGCTCAAATTTTATGGCATTTGATCAGATATTCAGGCTTACGTGAGATTTGTGTGACTTTGTGCTGATGCTCTCTTAGAGAACAGATTTATCCCATGTTATTTGCAGCACTGACTGTTTTGGAAAAGTCTGAATAAATAGATTTATCAGCTCTACTGTAAAGAGCCATTTGTGTCACAGCCAGCTGAATAGCTGAAATGGGATAGCTGAAATTGTCAGAAAGGGACTTTTGGACAATTTCCACAAATCTGTTACATATCTGGGACAGAAGAAGCCCATAAGAAAGAAAACACAACCCTAGAAATGATAAATTCAGTATTTTTCTTGTTTGCTAGCAGCAGTATGAAAACACTTTATTTTTCTCTTAACAAGAGGGTAACATCTGAACCGTAAAAAAATTTGCATGTTCCATATTGAGATAAAATTATCAAACCCCTCATATTTTCCAGTGTCCTGGACAGTTTGTTGAATTTAGAGTATCAACACACTTTATTTACTTTGCACTCCTTCCGAAAACTTGCTCTAAGTTTGATTAACGGTTCTTAAAGATCATTCCATTTCTGTAATACATGGTGAATTTATTTATATCTAGTGAGCAAATAAAGCAATTACTACATTGCTTTACAAAACAGTAATAAAGGTCCAACTAAGCAGGCAGTGGTGAGGCACAGGCAGAAGAGGAACTCATACGAGCACAGTGTGATGTTCAGTGAGATTCTGGATAGGTTCTGTTAATTAAAGACATATGGGTTTTCACGGTTTTATTATCATTTACTTCTCAAAATGGCCGTAAAATATATTTTAAATGCAATTGATAAGCTCACATACTATTTAAATGAAGTTTAAAGGCAGGTAGAATGGAGAAGACCGAGGTCAGCTAACTGGCTGTGTGACTTTCAGAGCTGAGAGTTGAGGTAATGACACTGTTGTTGTCTGGCAAAGCTGTGCCACGGGAAACACGCTTTCATCATTGCATATTGACTCTAATCAAACACATTTATTAGTCCATGAGACATAGCCATATTAGACTGTAAAATCAATGAATATTTTACAGCCAACCAATTAATATTTGCAGTGTAAATACCTCTGTCTGGTTTTCAATCCTTGACTGAGTAATTTCCTGGATGCTATTATTGACAGGGTTTTTTATACTTTAGTTTTAAGGTTTTTGATATTAAGGCTTCCAAGACCACCTTTTTTTTTTTTTTTTTTTAAATATAATGACATAAAAAGAGGTCACACTCTAAGGTAACTGAATGTTGTCCACACAAGTGCTGTAGTCATGATTTCTAAGTATGTGTTTCCTTCATCCAGTCTCACGCAAGCAGCCCGTCATTTGCTCTACTTTAACACTTACATAAAATCCCACTCAGCTGTCAGTCAATCATGCATGAGCTGTGGTGAGCATACTAAAAAGTTGGTCTATGGCATGGTCAGAAAGAATAGGAAAAAAAGAAAAGAAAAAGTAAAGAAAAAAAGAGACAAAAAAATCAGAAAGGATCAGGAAGAGCTGTGAGGGAGAACGGTTGTTTTGTAACCTTTAAAACACACTGAGTGAATCTTTTAAAGGAAGATCCTGTTTGCTAGAGAGAGGTAAGGACATGTAAAAATGACTAAGCCAATTCCAAGGAAGCTTTCAACGGATTTCTGCATGCAGAGAGGAATATTTTGGTCATGTTAACCTGTCATAAACTAAGCAATACTCTTTACCCTTTATTGTAAAAATCATTTTCTCAGAGGGAAGGAATCCCTAAGAGAAAGTTGTCTTGTGTTGAGTGTCCATGCAGGCAACACATCAAGAAAAACATCTGCTGCATTCCCCATCAAAAAACTTTTTTTTTCTTTTAATTTTGAACTATTAATTTCTGTATACATTGAAAATATGGGTAGGGCCAGCCTGCTATTGCAGAACTGTGTGTAAAGTGAGGTGATATCCATGTATGCCTCCAGGAAGATTTACAAGGCAATTTGATGGAGTGGAAGTTCCCCAGGCACACATATTTTACAGAACTGGCTGCTTTTGGTTTCCAGAAAGCAATCACAGGGTGCAGTGCAACTGATAAGCAGTGGGGCTTTTTCAGCAGGCAAACAGTGTCATGGTTCTGTCACTGCCAACGGGGCAGCAATGCTGCTCTAATGCTGGGCTCAGACATACTGAAAGTGGGGTGGGAAATGGGAACCAGAG